TTCATCTTAGCATCCAAAAGCTTTCTTATATGACAGCCATCTTTGTGTGAAATCATTGAAGCTGATATATGAAGTGGAATGAAGCACTGTGGACTGTTACAGGTCAGTTCCTTGATTGGTTCATTAGCTTCAGGGTACAGGAGAATTGAATGAACTCCAGCCTGGCTCATGTGGTGAATCTAATGAGATAAAAAGTCAGTAAATTTGTTACTAATCGATAGCAAGCCTAGAATTTGTCATCAGCATAACCCAACCTCAGAATTTGGAGATGTGCCACTGGAACCCTGGATCCCTTAAGACCGATGTACACGAGGGATTTTGCTCCCGGAGCATGCTCCAGGGGCATGCACCGGGAGCAAAGCCCCTCTGTGTGTGCCAACGATTTCAAGGGTATACTTCATCTTCGGGAGCAGAATTTCCACCCCACAAAATGCTCCACAATATTTAACAGGTTAAATATTTGGGAGCAAGCTCCCGGGGTAAATTGAGCGAACTTGAAAACGCTCCCTTGTGTGTACTGACACGTACAAAATGAGCCTGGAGCATGCTAAGAACCTAGTTCAGCAGAATTTTGCTAACCCAGTACATAAACTTGATAAACTCCCTAAATCCTTACCCAAAACCTAGAGTTGCTATAATTTTCCAGAAAATATAACAGAGGTCTCTGGCACAGTCCAAAACAAAGGGTTAATATGTTGCTGGGATATTAAAAGCCAATATATGGAAGAAGCCCCCTCCCTGGCAGGCTGGGAAGGTAATCACCTTGGTAAATAAAGAGCAATCACCAGGAGACACAAGTGCAATTCTTCCTTCACTTGTTTTCTTCTTCTGTTTCTTGTCATTATCAAGATGTTTTTTAGCTACTCTCCACTCAGGCTTAAGGTTGCAAGCATTTCCATAGTAACTAACGATGAAGTGGGAATGTCTGTGAATTAAATTGTGTGGCGATGGCAGCCAGTCATATCTTGCATCTAGTCTTTTTGCCACCAATACCACCTCACCTATGAGCCATATCCAACTCCACGTTCCTGTATAGTTGCAGTTCTATAAGAAAGACACAATTGTAATGAGTAATTTAAGCCTATTAAGTAACCAACGTTTAACTTGTAGACTTCAGTCATGGACCCAAATGAAGTCAATGAAGTGTCTTGGTTACAACACTACAGAATTTCCTCCACATAATCAAAAGTTAGAGCTACAAACTAAATGAATAGTAGCACACGAAAGTTAACTGCTGACGAGGTTATAGCTGAAGGGTCACACCATAGGATTTCATCCACAGAATCAAAAGTTGGACTCACTTTGCAAAGCACACATGTGCATGTAATGAGACTATTAAGCACGAGGTGAAAGTACAGCTAAAGAGGTTTTAATGAAAAGGACACAAGACAAGTGCTCGTCAACAAACTTATCACTTAAAATGCTATTCAACGGTCTTAATAATATTGACCCAAGGAGTGGGTAGGTAAAAATTACCACTGGTAGGTAAAAATTACCAAGCTTTGCTTTAGCCTGAATTTCAGATACTCCACAGAACGTTTCTTTTTTTAGTTTAACAGTTTAAGATGACACTAACCTTTCAGAGGTGGAATTTGAATACTTTTTACAGCTCCAGACTTTCCTTCCATATGAGAGTAGTTAAACACAGGGATAATTCTTGCACTGCCAGTTAGGTTGTGAATGAGATCAGTTTTGTAATTGAACCTTACAAAATAAGCAAGAAGAGTATGAAAAGGCTGGTTCTCCTCAACTGGTTGAATCAGTTTTTGCAGTGCTGGATCCAGACTTTGAGATGGGGGCGGGGGAGGAGGAGGGGTCATCCCAAAAAATTTTTTTGGGGCCCTCTAGGCTTCAGTTTGGTTTAAAAATAAAGCGGGGGAGGGAACAGCCCCTCCCCTGGATCCGCCATTGTTTTAGAGTGGCTAACCTGCATCACGATGTAATCTAATCTTGGTTAATGATGTCTGTAAAGCAGCACTGATCCTTGTTCTGAACCTCCAATGGATTCAGTGAATAACCAGAAATCTGTTTCAAATTTTTTACCCTTCAATCTGATCAGCAAATTGACAATAGCTTTTTCAACTGGCTAATTGTGCGCGTATTCAAATCCTGGCCCCAGTTAGTCAAATGAAGGATAGTGCTATCCACCGGATAAATCCCTAACCAGCGGATAAGTATTTGGGAAACTAATTGTGTTATCCTATGGATAGAGATTGATCCACTGGATAGTGCTACCCGCCTTTTGAACAACTGGGGCCTGGTACACAGGTGGAGGCCCAGAACAAGGATTTCGGCGCTGTTTCACGGACAAATTTTATGTCTGTGGTCAAGGCTACTGAGTGGCTGGCCCGAGTTCAACTCCATCCTGGATTCCTAGGGGCAAAACAAACTCATGGAGAGACCACCCCCGGTATTAGTGTCTTTAGGCATGTCATGGCTTGTGGGCATGGGTAGGGAGGGGAGGGTAACTTGTATGGAAGTTAGGTGCCCCATCCCTGCCCACTTCCACTTGGGTCGTCTGTGCCCAGTCAAGCTGACAAAGTAAAATGACAAAGAAAAATTGTTCAGTAGGCAGGTTTGTCAAGGTTTCACTATGGGAGCTTTGACTGTATTCAACATACAACTGCCTGTTGTGCAGTGCAGAGGTGCACTATGCTGCACATACGAAACTGCTTATTTTCACTTAGCATGTTTTTGTGATGTTCCTACTATCTGAAAGCCTGGCAAGAGTTGTGTTCAATAATCCTATCTTACGTTATTCCTACAGTACCAATACTCACCATTTTGCCTCATAAGCCAAAAACTTCAAAGATGGAAATAGAAACAAGCCCACTTCCGAAAGTTTTCCCTGGCCATCGATAGCCAGGAAAAAATTCTCTTGGGGAGTAAATTGGTAGGAAACAAAGAGTTTCATCTTAGCATCCAAAAGCTTTCTTATATGACAGCCATCTTTGTGTGAAATCATTGAAGCTGATATATGAAGTGGAATGAAGCACTGTGGACTGTTACAGGTCAGTTCCTTGATTGGTTCATTAGCTTCAGGGTACAGGAGAATTGAATGAACTCCAGCCTGGCTCATGTGGTGAATCTAATGAGATAAAAAGTCAGTAAATTTGTTACTAATCGATAGCAAGCCTAGAATTTGTCATCAGCATAACCCAACCTCAGAATTTGGAGATGTGCCACTGGAACCCTGGATCCCTTAAGACCGATATACACGAGGGATTTTGCTCCCGGAGCATGCTCCAGGGGCACGCACCGGGAGCAAAGCCCCTCCGTGTGTGCCAACGATTTCAAGGGTATACTTCATCTTGGGGAGCAGAATTTCCACCCCACAAAATGCTCCACAATATTTAACAGGTTAAATATTTGGGAGCAAGCTCCCGGGGTAAATTGAGCGAACTTGAAAACGCTCCCTCGTGTGTACTGACACGTACAAAATGAGCCTGGAGCATGCTAAGAACCTAGTTCAGCAGAATTTTGCTAACCCAGTACATAAACTTGATAAACTCCCTAAATCCTTACCCAAAACCTAGAGTTGCTATAATTTTCCAGAAAATATAACAGAGGTCTCTGGCACAGTCCAAAACAAAGGGTTAATATGTTGCTGGGATATTAAAAGCCAATATATGGAAGAAGCCCCCTCCCTAGCAGGCTGGGAAGGTAATCACCTTGGTAAATAAAGAGCAATCACCAGGAGACACAAGTGCAATTCTTCCTTCACTTGTTTTCTTCTTCTGTTTCTTGTCATTATCAAGATGTTTTTTAGCTACTCTCCACTCAGGCTTAAGGTTGCAAGCATTTCCATAGTAACTAACGATGAAGTGGGAATGTCTGTGAATTAAATTGTGTGGCGATGGCAGCCAGTCATATCTTGCATCTAGTCTTTTTGCCACCAATACCACCTCACCTATGCAGAAAACAACAAAGGATTTTTATCTGAACTATGTAGGTACAAAGAGAAGATACATTGAACGGGACAATACATAGGCGCATATTTACATTAAACACAGTATATCCACACTTTGAAAAGCTTTATGTACATGTAAGTAATGGTAATTGCAAGCAGGAGTTGGTTGTTTATGCACCAGGAATGAAAGATGCGTTTATAATAATGTTGCGGCAGCAGCCTCCCAAGTTCAACCCCTTATCCAGGCTAAGAGCTCGAAAAAAGTCTGTTGGGTAGACTGGCCTGATGGGACAAGTGGATTTTCTTGCTGGGCAAGTAACTTTGAAAGCTGACATGTCCAATGGACAAGGGTTGAAACAACTCATCCTCCAACAAAATCATTAACTAAGATGGGCAAGAAATGGCCCTGTGCAAGCAAAATGTGAGAGCTGCTTGCCCAAAGGATAAGCTGGAATTCAAGAGTTTATTGAGCTCTGATGATGCTGGGATTGCAAACAACCAAAACCTGGCAGGGTCAGCCCCAAACATTTGGCTAATAATGGGCTCTGGTAAAGCATTGAGAGGGAATGGACTTCAAAGCTCAAGGTAACGGATGAAGGAGATGGCTGATTGATAACTTCACCTCCCTGTGACAGCCGGAACGCTACAAGCAGATGCCGCTAAAGTAGAGCTAGTGAAGTAAGTGAGCAGCAACTGATTAAAATCCTTAAAGGAAACAAAATGACCAGCTCAGGTCAGACTGAAGGGTGAAATGAGACATAAGATATCAGATAAAATATTTTTTGAAAAAAAAGGTAATACTCAATAATTAACTACCAATTAAGCTGGGCGAAAGTGTATAACAGGTGGCCATAAATAAACCCCTCAGACATATCATTTGTGGTACATCTATAATAAACCATATATGCCACTCAGCTCCCAGGATATGCGGGAATCTCCAGGATACAGCACTAATCTCCCACTCTCTTGTAGGGGTCACCGAGTCTCCAAGATAAAATAGTTTTTTGATTTCTTTCTGCTTTGGATGGGAATTTACCCATATTTCCAAAAGTGTAAAGTTTTTTGGATTCAGAGCACATATATTATTACATCACTGACAAGAATTTTTCCATTATCATTAGGTACATGCAGTAAAAGGGCAAATTACTGACAGGGCTGTCAATAAACATCCTCTTTATTTCAAACTTATAAAAAATAAAAGCAGTCTCTATCAGAATAAACTGGGGTGTCCAACACAAATGCCAAGCTCCTAAAACCAAGTTCAAAATAAAACACTAGGTACATTTTACAGTGCAATTGAGAGACCACAGTATTCCTAAACAAACACAATAATTGAGAAAAATATAACTTTGATACCTTCCCTTGACTTGAATATAACTTGAGCAAGAGCACAACCCGAACCAAAACAAGGCCAGTGCATTGATGCATAAGGAATCCAATTTCCAAATTCATACACTGGTAGGCTAGTAAAATGCAGACGATCCTTCCATGACTGTGTCCAGCTCTTGTTACAGGCAGTAGTTTTTAAAGTGCTATGGTGTTGTTTCAGTACAGATAATTTTTCAAATGGTTCTTTCTCCACATTTTCAGCATGGTGATGTGCATGTAAAAAATGATGTGCACTGCTTGAGAATTGTTGCTGACAGGATTTCTTAAACCTATGTTTTAACTGGTTTATCTTCCTATAAAAGCACAATATATTATTAATTTAAGAAATTATTAATAGATTTTAAGTAAAAATTTAAAGTGTGATACATAGAGTTATATAGCCAGGAATACAAATTGAGATTCTTTTATATAAAGGGAGTTTTGTTACTGTTTTCTCTAAGTGACATTTTGTGTTTCCTCTGGAGAAAAAGAGCTCCCCAACACCTTCCACTCTAACTGTATTCAAAAAGCCCCTCAGCTCTCTTGAACACTTGAAAATATGTAAGCCTTACTGCCAGTAGCTTTTAACAGCTATATTATTTAAATAGAGCATTTTAGAGCTTGAAACGCTGGTTTATGGCATAGTACTGTATGTCTAGCCTGTTGGCTCCAAGATAGTTGTGCAGTTGTTCAGTAAAAAGTGATGTGAAAAATGCAAAGGGGTTGGGGAGAGACAGGGCAGTGGACTTTTTTTCGCTTTGCCTGTTTTATTTATGTCCCTTCTATACTATCTGAGAACCTGACACAGGCTATATAAATCATGTCAGGATCTCAAACAGCTGCATTTAAATTATTTGTAGGTGTGTAGTATTTTGATATGGGTAGATAACTAAAATATCCATTTACCCATGCACTGATTGAGTGTCGGTAGCCTATCGGCTGTTGATAGACAAGTGTCTGTTTTGTTTCTGGTGGGCAAACTCCTATTTGAAATGATTGGGGAAGCTCTCATCTCATTTAGGGGTCTAAAAAGCTCATTTTGGTATCACTTAGGGTATCCATGAAAAAACAGATTTTAGAGTCATGAGTGACAAAACAAAAGGAAAAAACACTTGATGACTGTGTCTTCACAACAGTTAAAATTAGCACATTATGTACCTTCTACGGGTCTGAGAGGTCAAACAAAGCTTCTTGAGCCACACCCTTTCTTTTTGCAGGGGTGTCCCTCCCCCTAGCTGGGGTGTATGCATTTATTATTATCAAACTTCTTTGAGATGTATAGTGGCTTTATTTGATAGCGAGTTTGCCCTCCACATTTTATCTTTGTAAGGTCTTAAAAAAGAATTCTTACAAAAATGTGAGGAAATCTAGTGGGCCCTGCACTACAGAGTGACTACAAGAAAACCACTGTCTTTTGATGTTCAACTCAACTCAGTATGAATGATATTATAAACTTACCTTATATAATATTTCTCGATGGCTCTATGAAGCCGAGTTCTCATCCATAAAATATCGTACATGGACCTAGAGTCTGCGCTTGACATGAAAACATAATGAGTATTGCCAGGGGACAGCTCAAGGAACTCCTCCAGCGATGTGTCATTGTTCCACAAGGCTTCTAAAAATGCCGAACGTCTCGTAAATAAATGAAATATAACGGGATGTGTTGGCGTTCTAGAAGTCGAATTGCCTTTCCTGTAAACTATTCTCCCATTGAGTGTTTGTAACGCAAACGATGGAGCTAAATCGCCGGGCTGAAGTTTGGGAAGTTGACATCGAATAACGACCAGATGCAAAACAAAGATCCAAATCGCATGACTCGTATCGAAAAACATGGATCGTTGAGAACCTACTCTGTAATTTTATCTAGATTTAGTTACCAAAGAGTGGTGAATTCCTCCGTGGAACATTAGCAAGTACATAGGATGAAAGCAATTAAGCGGTATTTGCAATTTCCACATTTTTAGCAGTATGATTTCACTCCACGGTGACGAGCGACCTCAGTTCAAGGTAGTTGTCATAACACTGCATGTTATGAGAATTTAATAATTAGGTCAATTAATATAGAACGTTTCAGAAGAAAAATCTCAAATTTAATGATTCGAAATCATTATTAATGTTCATTTTGTAAGGTTTTACAGAAATTAGGACGCTCTGTTTCGATAGTATTTCGCTAATTAGAATTTCGCCGACAGTGAAAAATATTGGTTGCACACCAAACTTAATTTTCTCCTCACTTGAATACGATATTGTTGAAGCGTGACATTTTCCGTGTTGTGCCGGGCCTGAAGTAAGCCGGGCTTTCCAGCGGTTTAGTTTTTTATGCTTGCGATTGGAGTAACCAGGTAACAATTCAGGGGTATTTTTACTTCTTCCCTTCTTCCAGTCAGGTAGGTTTAAAATTTAAATTTACTTTCTACGGCTTGGAGAAGTTCTGGGACTATTTAGGTGTCGTTACATCACACTGGTAAAGCACGAAAAAAAGCGATTTTGGGTCGCTGTTGAAGAAAGTATTAAACCGTCCTTGCAAAGTACATTGAAGCATAGTTGGTCTTCTGCTAACTATGATTGAAGTTTAAGTAACTGGGCCTAGTTGAACTGCAGTGTGAGGTCTCCTTCCTACATGCCCATATCATGGTGCAAACGGAATACTTATTTAGAGTTAGATAACAGGTCGCATTAGCAGAAAAGAAATCCCATTTTCTGTGTGTGGAGTGTTAAGTACAAACTAATAATTAAAGGTGTACTGTGATGCAAGTGGTGGGTTTTCATTCCAAGAAGTAAGACTTTTTGCAGTGATATAAAAACATCAATATTTCAGGGTTACTGACTTTATTCCAATCAATTCACTTACTGCTAGTTAGTAGTATAAGAAAAACAAATCATTTTAAGTGAATGAATAAATAATGATCTTTTAATTAAAAATGACTGGTGGGACTGAGCAAATTAACAGAAACAAACAAATCCGATAGTAGTGAAGTTTAAACTTTCATCTGATCTAGATACTTTAATTAGTTTGTTTTAATTTAACGTTTACCACAACTAAGTGTGGTTTTATTTTTAGCATATGCATATAGACTTGTTTACATATAGGCCCAAAACAATGAAAAATCAGGTGCCATTCTGATTTAGAATGCAAAAGGCTACACTTAAGAAGCTGTTAGGGGATTTTTCTAAGGATCTGAGCAAAAATCGAGCCAGTGTGGCTGTGCTGGACGGTGCGAATTTGGGTTTTGTATATTCAGAATGATCACTGACCATTGCAGGCATCTGTGACATGTCGCGAAAATGGAAATGCTCCTGACCATCTTGAGCAAACTTACCAGCAATAATGTACCATTTCAAGTTTTTCTTTGTTCAGTCAGCAAAATCAGGGATGGTCAGGAAACAGCCAAATCCACGATAATAAATTCCTTAATCTAAAACAATTCTTTGATTTGTAAGTGGTATCTTCACTGGTCAGCAGAGCATAAAACCTGGCCTCCTTTCTCAGGATTTTCTTGATTTGCCCCTGACAATTCCTTTGCCTCTTTCCCTAGTTAGTTGGACTAAATGAGTTAATGTTCAAATAACTACAATGGCAGTCAAAAGAATTTTGGACAAGGTGGAAAAACAAAAACAATTATTGGGTGGGTTTTGGGTTCATCCCTTCTTCACCCCACTGCCCTCAAAAATTTTGTGATACCCCATTTTGCTCACAATTCAACATTGTCTGGGAGGGAGTGGAGAGGGTGCCAGTTTACTAAAATTATATCACTTTTTAGATCCCAACACTTTTGATCCCCATTGTACCAATTTCTTAATATCTTTTCGCCCCTGGAGATTTTGTTGAAAAACGTGCTTTGCAGCTATAGTTGAGCGGTTTTCTAGTCACTGTCGTGTCATAGAGAGCTAAAACTTACCACACAGCCGTTTACAGGTCATACTCTTCGCGCCAGATGCAAAATATTAGCTTGCGAAGTTCGGGCTTGCACATAAAGCAAAATTTTGAGATAGTTTTTGGGTTTAAAAGAGACATATAGCAATCCTGACTTTTACCTTTCACTTTCTCTTCTCCCCTCCTTTTTCACTTTTCCTGCTTCATTTTTTCTTCTTTTGCTGGGCATTTAGTAGGCTTCATTTTTGTGGGAAAAGTTTTCAGGGATGCTTTTAGGATCTTAATTAGGATTAGATGAAAGGAAAGGTAGGAGGGTAGTGGAACAAGATTTTCATGGAAATTTTCAGGTCAATGGTGGTTTTTTGCCTTTTTCTCTGGTGTCTGTGGCTGAATATTTTGTGCTCATTCTGGTATGGTTTGAAAGATCTCTCCACTCGGCACAAGTTAGTGAACTAAGTTGTCCTTGACCATTAAAACTGATGATATCACAAGCGGTAGAAGGGAGGTTGATCTGCACTGGCACTTTACTGGTGCCTCAGGGGCGAATGGGTGAAAAAATAATTTTATTCATCTGATTCTGTTTTTTTGTTTTTCTTCTGTAGGTTTGGCGCAGTATCATAAATGGGTTTTGGGGAAAGAAAATTCTTAGAAGCTGCCCACGAAATAGACAATATTACACTGGATGGATTTGAATTTTTAACAGAATCCAAAAAGGAATCTGTTGAGTGTAAAATTTACAGAAAATATGAGGAGGTTGGTTACATGTTTATCTACAGTCAAACACCTGTTAAGTGGTCACCTTAAAATATCTGATTTACTGCATTAACTTGAGGGTAGCTTGGCATATACTGCATTGATCACAAATTAAAAATGAAGCTGTTCACTCAGGGTACTTGTCACTTTTGACGAGCATCTGACGTCTTTACTAGCCACTTTTGGTACTTAGATGAAATATCTAAAAGAGTATCTGGGAAATTAATGTAGGGGTCCTGATGAGATTGAAAAATTTAATGTATTAACTAACCTTAGCAAGCTTAGAATTTACAAATCTTCTATTTTGCCACAATTAACTTATTGTCAGATGGTCTGGTACTTTTGTAGAAAATCTGATCACTGAAAGTTTGAGAGACTCCAAGAGAATGCGCTTAGATCTGTGTATTATGATAAAAGTAGTGCATACGATGAGCTTCTTGTAAGGGCTAAACTCCCCTCACTGCTGAACAGAAGGCTTAAGGGGATAGCAATAGTAATGTACTAAGTCAATTATAATTTATGCCTTAGTTATATATCCGATATTTTTAATTTAAGCAACCGAAGTTATAACCTGAGGAGTTCAGACAATTTTATGATTCCGAGAATAAATAAGTTACCACTTATGGGAAACACAGTATTACATATTTTGGCCCTGTAATATGATCCAAAGTAAGTATGCACATTAAGAGTTCTGTAACACTTACTTCTTTTAAGAACCAGGCGAGAAAAGTAGACATTGAGAACCTTCTTAGAACTGACACCTGTGAGAACTGTCACCTGTACTAGCGTAACTCTTAATGGGGTGGGCAGGGTTTCTGAGTTTGTTTCTTTGTTTGTTTAATTTTTTTGGGTAGTTAGGTAGTTATAATTAATTAGTTCTATTTGAAAGGAAAGGTAGTTGGGCAATGGAACAAGATTTTTGTGCAGATTTTCAGGTCAATCTTACATGGTTTTTTGCCTTTTTCTCCGGTGTCCTTGACTGAATTGTGATCATTCTGGTATGGTTTGAAAGATCTCTTCACTCTGCACAAGTTAGCGGACAAAGTTGTCCTTGACCATTAAAACTGATGACGTCATAAGTGGTAGAAAGGATGTGGATCTGCACGGGCAGTTACGGGCGTTTCAGTAGTGAATGGGTTAATGTAAAGAAGGGTAGTGGAGCCCGTGTGTTGGCCAAGTGCTAACAACTCAAACTTTGAATCTGTCCGAGTTAATTCCTTGTCGTTGTGATGCTTTCTTAACAAAGAAGACTTCACTCCACTTTGCCTTTCTCTCCCAACTATATTGATTTTAATATTACTACAGCTGTATTTGATTTTTTGGAAGAAATTGTTGCTATCAGAAGTTTAGACTGCCTCATCACCAATCTTCACATTCTTTAAAGGCTTCTGGCCCAAAAAGACACACACCCTGTTCAAGACTCTAGACCTTGGAAAATCATGCCCTTTTCAGTGGCACATACATGCTTAGGCCAAATAAGAAAGTGCCCTATCTGAGCCTTATGTACCCTGCTAGCAGAGTCCCTTCGATCTTTCCCAGATGAGTCTAGGAAGATCGAAGGAGACTCCGTTTGCAAGGTAAGCCTTATGTAAAGATGGGTATAAAAGGCACAGGGAACCCATGGAGTTAGAGCTTGACCTTGTTTTTACCACTTGTGTTTTGTTCCACCGTACAGGTGTCAGGATTGTATGAATATAAAATAATGGGGTCAATTTCAGATGTTCTTCCTGATGTATGCAAACAGGTGTACATGGACCTAGAGTATAGAAAAAACTGGGATGATTACGTTTATGGTAAGTAAGCAATGGGAAAAAGTAGATATTGAAGTGAGGCATCCCTAACTGAAAATTATAATAAAATACCCCAAATGTTAATCCCCATCTACAAAGGCCCAAAAGAAATGTATCACTGGACAAAACCTCCCCCCTTGAAGCTTGTTCTACAGGTTCAAATCCCAACGAGTGTGTATAAAATGCGAGCCAGCGAGTCATGCGAGCCATGCAGCCCATTGAAGAATCATTGAAAAAAACTACCATAAAAATCGAAAACAGCAATACGGAAAACGTTAACTGAACGCTAACCATTGTAAATAAGTGTTTCACCCTAAACAGCTCTTAACCCTAGCGCTAAAATGAGTGCTTAACCCTAATCAGTATAATGATTGCTCAACTCCTCATCTGTGAATTTGCAGTTTAAATTTACTTGTGTTTCCTCTTTTTTTACCGATTGCCTCGCATGACTCATGTGGCTCGCTGGCTCCCAGTTTGTCAAGACCCAATTAGTAACCTGTCTCTCACAATAAGTTTCCCATGATCATTCATTGTTTTTAATATATTTTATAGAACTCTATGAATTTGAGGAGGATGGAGTTAAAAACATATACTGGAGTGTGAACTATCCTTGGCCAATGTCAAATAGAGATGTATCCTTCAGTACTTTACATCTGTGATGCATGCAAATCTCAGACTATCTATTCTCTTTATTTAATACTAACATTACACCTGTAGCTTACATTATTAAATGCCAGTGAGATTAAAATTGAATTAAAAGATTGTTTAATTTTTGAAGGTGTAGGATAGTGGAAGTCACTAGAGAGGAATCTCTTAGAAATAATTTAATAGTAGTAATAGGGGGGCACTTCCAGATTATCAAATCATTGTGATATGCGCTGAAATGGGGTATCAGACAGTGACCGCGGAGCAAGGTGAAAAGTGGGAGGGCTGGCAATTGAAAATCGAAAAAAGGAATAAAGATTCATTGCAAGAAAAGACGCGATTATATTACAATGTTAGTATAGAAAATACTACACTGGAGTGATCTGAAAAATTTCTAACTATGGCCGTTCACTGTTCACGTAATGTAATTCTTCTTACCATCGAATATTTCATTGATTCGAAAAGAGAAAGACAAAATATAAAACTTTTATCAGCTCAAAACAATTACTCACCTTCGTTTGGCTTGAAAAAGCTAGTAATTTTCTTCATTTCGTCTGATAAAACTGATAAAAAACTCTGCCGGAACTGGAAGTACAAAACACACTGCCGAACGAAGCGAAGGGGTGGCCAAGGCATGGCGTTTGATCAAGGGGCAAGTCGGCCCCAGGGCACAATTACTGCGAAAATTAAAGCACAGGAGTCCCACAAAATGCCTGGCCTTTGAAATTCAAGAAAATACAGAGAATATAGTGGAGTATAGATGGGAAAATACTTGTTTCAAGTCTTTTTCTTTTATTTTAATTTTTTTTCTTTTTAGTGCAAAAAGTAGGGGCGGGGGCGCAAAAAAGTGGTGGGGCCGTGGCCCTCCCCGCCCCTCCCCCTCCGTGGTCCCTGTCAGATCATTTTCAAAGGTCCACCCAAATCACAGGACAAACAACTGGTTCTCATCAAAGTGGGAGAACATTATCATGCTTGTAACTCTCTAACAGGATTGGTCCATTTGTACCATGTGACCCAAATACTGGTCGCTGATTGGCTACTGGCGGAAGTGCCCCCTAAATACTACTTTTAATAAACCAACATGTGATACATAAAACCATGAAAGATGTGGAACAAGTTAAGGGTGGGCAATAACTTGTTTCTGAAACTTTTGATCTGATCTCAAAATCAAGGAACTGTTTGTGATTATGTTTATTGAAGTTTCATGATTTTAAGTTTTTTTACCACAATGTCTTGAATTTTTCAGAAAGATCTTAGCATCTTGGGCAGTCTTGGACACTTTCCTAGAAACTCAAGGTAGCTTTTCAGGCCCAAAGCAAAATTATCAAAATCAAATTTTAGAAAAAAAGCATGGGTAACAGCTAACAAAACAATCCACTTTCTTTTGTTAGCTGATCACATTTATCATATTAACTGCAGAACTATTGAAACCTTGATATTTAATTAAAACACAGCAGCTTTCTGTGCTGGTAATAATACCAAGGCTTTTGAGAAACAGACTCCATGTCTCTCTGGAGATGTGCAGACTGAGGATACTTGAGAAACAATGTGCTTATAATGAATATTTTCCTTAACTTTTTATCCTTGTAAATTGATGCTATCCTTTTAACAGTACATATATACAAGGGCTTTGCGTGAGCTGGAAGTTAATAGCATACCAACTGTAGTGGTATTAGCTGAGAGTAATTTATTGACCAAAACTCCAGAAAGAAGTGGAGTTATAAGAGTTAAAGAGTATCATCAAAGTCTTATTATTCAGAGTGATGGTATGGTGGGCACTAAAGGTAGGTTCTCTCCCTTAATGACAAAAACTTTAGCCTGCGGAAACATCCGTTTCTCCTTACTCTTTGCCACTGGGGACGTTTTGCGCGGAGAAACGTCTGCGACTCAGCGACAGAAATTCCATACTGATGACGTAAAATCTGTCCGGAATCCGGTCAGAAGCGCTGATTGGTCAACGGAGTAGTTACATTGTTTTAGCTATTGTTTACGAATGACAGACAAAAGACAAAAGGTCATAAAGGTCAAATGTAAACGTGAAGAATCTCTAACAAAACAGTCAATATTTGTAGAATATAGTGTTCTCTAGAAGAAGCATTTGAGTTTTGCTGGAGCTTATTGGCACATGAACACAACACTTCACCAAAATCGACCAGAGGACACGTAAAATTGGACAAAAATATATTTGGAACCCCATGACCACCGGATTTATTATGTAAACATTGATTTGCGTCATCATTATGGAATTTCTGCCCCTGAGTCGCAGATGTTTCTCTGCGCGAAACTTCCCCGCAGCGGCGAAGAGTGAGGAGAAACGGATGTTTTCGCAGGCTACAAAAACTTAAGATGGAATCCATCAGGGTAATTTCAATTTTCAGTTGACAAAAACCTTGTTCCAGAATAATTGAAAAACCTTGTTCCAGAATAATTTAAACAATATCGTGTTCTTTTTTTACATTTTTCAAGGGCTATAGATATTAGCTATCTGTAATAACACCAAATACTATTTCTCATGGGAGCCCAAGAACATTAAATGTCAAATTTCACAAGAATTGTGAAAACACAGTTAAAATTCTGAAAATTTCATGTGTAAGGTGTCATTTTGTGAAAATATTTGACATTTATTTTCTCAGGCTCTCATAAGAAATTTTCTGTGGTGTTATTACAGATAACTAATTATATCTATAGCCCTTGAAAAAATGTAAAAAAAGAATGCGATATTGTTTGAATTATTCTGGTACAAGGTTTCTGTCTGCTGAAAATTAAAATTGCTCAATTTCCTGATGCATTCCATCTTAAACCCTTTTCAGCACCAAGAGTGACTGACCCCAGGGGAGGGGGGGGGATCAAGGGAAGTCTGGGTAGAGCTGTGCTGCTGAGGCCTTCAAACCATGACTCTGCTCATTTGCCACCCTGTTTAAGACAGGAGACACTACTTTCTGACCCTGATTTGTTTTGTTTCGCATACAAAGTTAAGTGCTTTTTCACACTAAAATCGTGGAAATGGATATTAAGGAAAAAAATGTTGGTATTGCAAATATAGATCGCTCCTCGCAAGTCTCGAAAGGCTTCCAGTCCAAAAAGACACCCTGTTCAAGATGCTTACTAGTGAAATTGTATACCCTGTTCAAAACCATACCCTGTTCAGTAACACATACCTGCCTAGGCCAATTAAGGGAGTGCTTCCCCCCCCCTCCCCCTTGGGTGACCAACATCAATTTCCTCCCAACAATATCATTACATAATGAATACAAAAGGTTATGAGAATTGCTTAAATAATCACCAAAGGAAAAAATGTTTTGATCCATTATCAAATTCTCTCAACTAATTATAAGTTCTTTAAGGAAATGTTGTTTTTAAAGAAATAACAGCCTACAAAATGCTCCAATTCATCATATCACACCAGGATAAAACACATTGATTTTAATGATTTTAATCCAGAAACATTTATTTGGTGAACATTACTAAATCGCGGTCATGTTTCTGAGAACAATAACCATGGCTTACTGATAACACACTATCCAATTTCTTTACTTAAGATATTTATTTGTTTAATTAAATATATATATTTTTTACAGCTTTTATGCATTACTTTGATAACCCTGGAGGACTTATCCCTTCCTGGCTTATAAACTGGGGTGCAAAGGTCTGTATCGTTGAATTAATTACAGAGTGTAGTTTTGTCTGAAGGGCCTGAGTCACGTTTTTCGAGGCAGGGCTGTCAACTCTCCCAGATAATCCGGGAGACTCCAGGTTTTGAACTGAAGTCGCCGAAGTTTGCCATTTCTTGAAGAATTGACTTTTTGACAATGAAATTTCAAATACTTTGTGTTGTTTGAGCTATTTTACTGTTAACAGTGAACGTTTCCTCACAAACTTCAATATGTCATTGTAATATAAGCAATAATGTGATTGGTGGGAAGTAAGCCAATTAGGTCAAATGTTACAAATTCCAAAACGTCTTTTTCGCGCGTTTTTTTTCACAAATGACGTCACATGCCGTGTGCATTATGATGTCATTTATCATCCCTCAGCCATCAATTCTCAATATTTGAAGACATGGGAGGTTGACAGCCCTGTCAAGGGCACATTAGCTGTCCCTGTGCAGTCGCTTGAGGGGCTTTCTTTCTGCCAGGAACTGGTAGCTATTTTGAACCTTGGTAAATCACATGAATAATCATGTAGCGTTGAAATTACTTCCAAGTCCCCCTGCCTAATAATGCCCTAATAATACTCAGCATGAGTTATATTTAGTGCTAAAATATATTTAAATGCAAATTTTAAGAGACTCTAAAAGTGAACAACTCTAAAACTGTAAACAATGTCCTCTTTCTTGCTATAATATTATTGCATTTTAATCCTTATTATTCATCATACATGTAGCTATGTGCCTAAGCTGAAAATATTTAAAGGAATTCAAAAATAAGCTTTAATAATATATATTTTGTTATCCTTGATTTATAATAATGTTTATATATAATAATTTGATGGTAGCATTTTTTTTAAAATAAAAGAATAATTCCCTGGAAAACCCTAATAATAAAAATATACAGTAAGCGAGTGATTTTCTTACCATGCAATCATTTTCTTAAAAAACTTTTAAGATTTTCCATTGTAATCAGTCTGTAATGAGAAGAGGTGATAGTTTTTACTACTGTATTTGGTTGTATTAAAGAGGAACAACTTGCTTTGCTTTATGTGAAGAGTAACCTCNAGTGAACAACTCTAAAACTGTAAACAATGTCCTCTTTCTTGCTATAATATTATTGCATTTTAATCCTTATTATTCATCATACATGTAGCTATGTGCCTAAGCTGAAAATATTTAAAGGAATTCAAAAATAAGCTTTAATAATATATATTTTGTTATCCTTGATTTATAATAATGTTTATATATAATAATTTGATGGTAGCATTTTTTTTTTAAATAAAAGAATAATTCCCTGGAAAACCCTAATAATAAAAATATACAGTAAGCAAGTGATTTTCTTACCATGCAATCATTTTCTTAAAAAACTTTTAAGATTTTCCATATTAATCAGTCTGTAATGAGAAGAGGTGATAGTTTTTACTACTGTATTTGGTTGTATTAAAGAGGAACAACTTGCTTTGCTTTATATGAAGAGTAACCTCGTGTTCATGTTCTGACGACATGAAAGTGGTGTTTTGTTTTGTTTGTGTAGTTTCTTTTTTATTTCCTCTTTTTTCTTCTCTTGGCTTGTTTTTCCTTTATTCCTACTACTGGCTGTTATCGTGAGCTTTGTGAGGTTCCATGAGACACATGTTTCTAGCATTAACATTATATAATAATGATAATAATAAATAATAAGAATAATGGTTTATTCACAGTATAATATCCATAAACTAAAAATATGGCTCTTCACCTGTGACTAACTACTACACTACCCAACCTACTAATCTACTCATCAGTTGGTTATAAATTATCATACTTACTACAAAACTATGAACATGCAGTGAAATAATAAAACGATAAGTTCAAAAATTCAGGAAAAACTAGTGAAAAGAAAAACTATGGACAGTGAGATGATAATCAAACAATAAGTTCCAAAATTGAGAAAAACGAGTGAAAAGGTCACAAAGAATGCAGCCTTGCCCTTGCCTTGGTTTTAAGGTGATTTGTCAACTGACTCTTGAAATAACTAAATTCTGTGGAGATGTTACTGGTCAAAATTATATTCAGGTTAAAATTTTAACCTATATTGATTCTCAATAGACCTATTCGGCTAACTCAGGTCAATATTGTACCCAATTCAAATCTCCCAGGGTTAAGATTCTTTGTGTACTATATTTGCATTATAATGTTGCATTCACATTTAAATGATATGGAAATTCCTGAAACAAAACGTTTTATCCCCAAAGGGTTTGTATTGGGTACAACATTTAGTTAGCTGAATAGGTCTATTTCCTTGGTTTCCCTAATTCATAATAATTTAGGCTAGGAGGCGAGGTAAACAGAGAATCAACCTCGATTAAAAATTTTAATCTGTAACAAAGCCAAAAAAAGTAAAAGAAAATCAACAATCTTTTTAAATCCCCCAGCTTAACCACAATATATTCACAGCTGTAAATAGGAACTACCTATCTAAGTAGACAACATATATTTTTTGTGTACTTCATTATTCATAATTTTTGGACTGGCTTTGCCGATATCAATAATTTATTACGCAGAACACCATAAAGGTGGGCTTGGTTATTAAAAATACATTTTTAAAAGAAAGTGACTGCTTTTATCCTTGTGGAGTGTTAATATCAGTTACAGATATGATATTTCAAAAGTCAAATGTCAAGCTTATTACTGCATGTTTTATTGAGAGTCTGGACAGTTAATGTCTTTTTAAAAGCTACTATACACTATACACTGTATATAGTGCAAGGATCCAATATATTGCCCACTTAGGAGACAACTTTACTTGTCTGCCGAGGCATTTATTACTGTCTGGTATTAAGGGCTTTAATTTCTTTAGTTAATTAAGTGCATAAAATGTTGATATGCAATTAATCTTCAAATATTATGTCTTTTGATTAATATTTGTAAAATAAGCTAAGACTTATAAAAATCTGTGGTTATTGATCATAATTTTGCAGGTATGGTTGGTTTGTACTGCTTTTATTCTTTTCTGAGAGAGAATATTCACATTTCATTTTTCAATTGCTTTTTTTCTTGACATTTTTTTTACAAATATCACCATTTGTTTTAATCTGAGGGGTGTCATTTTATGCTACTTTTTTTTCTCAATATTTTTAAAGAACCTTTTTTAATTTAGAGCGTCTTTGTAGTTCAAATTCACCTGGATTTAAACTAAGCTAAAAGTATATTTTTCTTTAATTTCGGCTAGGTGCATCATACTTCAATTAAGTCATCCTGTAAGCTTGCCAGGCATGTGTTCCAAACTAACCATAATATTTAAGATAACTATTGTATTTTACTACTGACTGATACTATCTGTAGCCTATATGAGTTTGATAAAGGAAGAATTAACAGACCAAAAAAAATTAATGTATTCCAAAGAAATTTGATATGATAAGGTGCTTAATGCGTGTCAGTTTTCTGAAGTTCTATTCTGTATGATGTTAAAACATATGCTAAGCAAGTTTCAGGCTCTAAACACACAAACACACATACCGACAAACACAAAAAATAAAATAAAAAATAAAATGTAAGAAAAGTCAGTTTCAGCTATTATATTGCCGGTGGATGACATGATACCTTGTATTCTGCAAAAAGTCACTTAACCTTTAATTTTGATTTAACAACTGGTTGGTAAGTAAGAAAAGGGTAATTTTATGATAGGAAATATAGGTATCTACTTTCAAACATTAAAGTTCTTGATTGGCTGAAGAATATTACAATTATTATTATATCTATTTTTATTCTTTAAGACAATAGTTTCTTTGAATATTAATATTCAAGATTAACAACTACAGCTGCTGGTTAATTTCAACAATCAATTAACTTGTTTTTACTCGGACCATTAAAACTTATCATCATTCATCATGGCTAATGATGGCAATGGCGATTTACGAATGCATAATAAATAACAGTTGTTTAAAATTATTTTTGCTTCATCTTTTTTTATGGTAAGCTGGTTGAATTTATCACAGCTAATCAATCATTGTTATCTGCTATGTTAATGCCACAATATACTACAGTAGTTTCCATTGTAAAATGATGTCTTAAAAGGAAATAAATCATATATGAACTGTGGGTATATGATATATGATATGATTTCTATAGTGTTATCAATGCAATGAATTAATGCAATCACGGTGAAAAAAGCTGGAAGTTAAAAAGTCCTGTGTTTTTCAGGCTTCTAAATTAATAAAAATCACTTGTAGTTTTATGTTCAAAACATCATTTAATTTGTCTGCCACATATTTTGATAACTTGGATAAAGTACAGAATGACAAATTCTAGAAGCAAAAATATATCACCTGGCCCTGGTTGTTCAAACATCGGATAGTGTTATCCACGGGATGAATCCTGTATGGCTTAAAAAATGAACGTTTTGTGCAGCACTCTCTGGCATAGCACAATTTGGCTATCAAGCAGACTTTCATCGTAAAAATGCTGCACCTTATAACCAAAAAATGTGGTATTTTAAAACCTTACCATAGTCCTATATAAACATTAATTATTAAATTATTATTATTATTATTATTATCGTACAAAATGAAATTTGTGATCTGTTTTTTTAAATTTTGTTTTCGTTGGGGTAGCTTTTGCTAGGTTCTCAGATAGTAGGGATGTCACAGAAACAAGCCAAGGGAAAAAAAGTGTCACTTTTCATGACTTGGGCACATTGCTATCTTGGAGCCTGGAAAAAAACTAATTTGGGTTGAGCTTGGGAGTTTACATGAAAGGCTTGTCTTTCTGGCAACAGAGTCACAGTTAGGGTATTAACTGAAGTAAAAACAATGGCATCGTTATGGCCTTTAGAGAGAAACCAAAAATTAAGTGAGGAGTAAGTGGAGGCAGGACTTGATGCAAGAAAATTGGAGTTGCAAGAATCGCAACGTTTTGATTCTCTTATAACAATTTATTATGATTATGACTGCCTTGCTTGTGATCTTGAAAAAAAAAGTGCCCTTAAAACTCTGACAGTCTAGTTTTCATTAGATTGTACATGTAAGTGATGGAGTCGTGAACAGAATAAAAAAAACTCTACTTACGACTATGTTGGTTTGATTTTCACTACATTTTTTTTGCTCTACACTTCTGATTACAATAACTTTTTCATAAATGGAAATAAAACTAGTGTAAAGATACTCTGATACTAATTAATATACTGTTTGATTTCTTTGTAGACAGGAGTACCTACATTCCTGAATTCCATGAGAAAGGCCTGTCTAGGTTATAAAGAGTATTTTTCCAAAAAATGACTGCTGTTCAACAGTACAGGAAGTCTGCATGCTTAAGTCAATGTTTACCTTTTTTTATAGTTGCAAAATTTCACCATGATCAAATCAATATTACCAGCACCATTGAATAATTTCCAGTTTTTAAAGATTACAGGTAACTTCATATGACAATAAAGAATAAAGAAAATTACTACTATAAGAGCCATGGATAAATTATCAAAAAAAACTGTGATAATATCAGTTTTATAAGCAGACTAAAAAAAGAATTTTTGTTAGTATTTATTGATGACATTTTTTTTGTTGTCACTTCTTTATACAAGTTGTAAATAAAGAAAAATAAAATCCTTGTTCCTTAACAATTATTAGTCCTTGTTGTTTTTATTTGGTCATAATATGGGTTTTGTAAGGAAGCAACAAAGTTATATTATAATAACTGAAAATGAAATAACTCCAACTTATAACAATTATAGATTAAGAGACTTTAAAAGAAAATACAGTCAAAGCTCTCGGACTCTGATGTTTCTGGTTTTCACTAGATCATAAGCAACAGAGTCGTGAGTGTTGGAAGAAAATAGTTAAGTAAGGTTCTGATTTTTCCAACTCTAATTTGACTTCCTTTATTCCTTATTTTCATGAGGTCGTAAGTGTTCTTACAACTCCACTAACAACTCTGACTTCAACTCTAGTGGAAACCAGCCTTTAAACATGTCTATGCTTTGCATTGCTGTTTTCAGACACTTGAAACCGTTCTTTGAAGAAGGGGGGCAAGGGGGGATCTCGTCACAAGTTCACGAGTCACTTTTGATCTTGGCCACGTGTTTGGGTGATCTCTACGTGGCTATTAATTCCCCATGGAAGCCAGCTGTAAATGGGTCTGAGCACACTGAAGTGTGAAGTTACATCAGAAGACTCAAAAGTGAAGTTAAATCAAGCCACCAAATACTAGTCAAGGTTGTTTGGCCAAAAAAACTGATTTATTTTCTTCAATAAATTGATCTTCAATGTTTGTGTACACAATAGAGGATTTTGGCAGTTTATGTTTCACTGAGTGCACTTCAATCAATATTCACAGAACAGTTTTTCAGTAAATCACGATTCACAGACACAAAAAATGGTTGATCACAGCATCACAAAAATAAGCTTGCCCCGCCCCCCACCCCTCATTGCAATTTTATATAGTCATCATGTCTAGCAGTGAAGGGTAGTGGCTGTTGCAGGACTTTCTCTGAGTCTTATATAAAATGTTAAGTCAAACCTCCTTAACTCCTTGACTTAACTTTCGCCTAAAAGTATTTATTTCATAGAATTTTGTGAAAAAAAATAAGTTAAATTTTCTTGTAATTTTTGTATTATCATACATTTCTGGTAAACTGCCCACCTACCCCTCCCCTAAGCCAACATTTTGCCCTAAGACTGATTACAATAACTTTTTCATAAATGGAAATAAAACTAGTGTAAAGATACTCTGATACTAATTAATATACTGTTTGATTTCTTTGTAGACAGGAGTACCTACATTCCTGAATTCCATGAGAAAGGCCTGTTTAGGTTATAAAGAGTATTTTTCCAAAAAATGACTGCTGTTTAACAGTACAGGAAGTCTGCAAAGCTTAAGTCAATGTTTACCTTTTTTTATAGTTGCAAAATTTCACTATGATCAAATCAATATTACCAGCACCATTGAATAATTTTCATTTTTTTAAAGATTACAGGTAACTTCATATGACAATAAAGAATAACGAAAATTACTACTATAAGAGCCATGGATAAATTATGAAAAAAATTGTGTTAATATCAGTTTTATTCCTTTTTATAAGCAGACTAAAAAAAGGAATTTTTGTTAGTATTTATTGATGACATTTTTGTTGTTGTCACTACTTTATACAAGCTGTAAATAAAGAAAAATAAAATCCTTGTTCATTGACAATTACTAATCCTTGTTGTTTTTATTTGGTCATAATATGGGTTTTGTAAGGAAGCACCCAAGTTATATTATAATAACTGAAAATGAAATAACTCCAACTTATAACAATTATAGATTAAGAGACTTTAAAAGAAAATACAGTCAAAGCTCTCGGACTCTGACGTTTCTGGTTTTCACTAGATCATAAGCAACAGAGTCGTGAGTGTTGGAAGAAAATAGTTAAGTAAGGTTCTGATTTTTCCAACTCTAATTTGACTTCCTTTATTCCTTATTTTCATGAGGTGGTAAGTGTTCTTAGAACTCCACTTACAACTCTGACTTCAACTCTTGTGAAAACCAGCCTTTAAACATGTCTATGCTTTGCACTGCTGTTTTCAGACACTTGAAACCGTTCTTTGAAGAAGGGGGGCAAGGGGGGATCTCGTCACAAGTTCACGAGTCACTTTTAATCTTGGCCACGTGTTTGGGTGATCTCTGCGTGGCTATAAATTCCCCATGGAAGCCAGCTGTAAATGGGTCTGAGCACACTGAAGTGTGAAGTTATATCAGAAGACTCAAAAGTGAAGTTAAATCAAGCCACCAAATACTAGTCAAGGTTGTTTGGCCAAAAAAACTGATTTATTTTCTTCAATAAATTGATCTTCAATGTTTGTGTACACAATAGAGGATTTTGCAAGTTTATGTTTCACTGAGTGCACTTCAATCAATATTCACAGAACAGTTTTTCAGTAAATCACGATTCACAGACACAAAAAACGGTTGATCACAGCATCACAAAAATAAGCTTGCCCCGCCCCCCACCCCCTCATTGAAATTGATACAGTCATCATGTCTAGCAGTGAAGGGTATTGGCTGTTGCAGGACACTCTCTGAGTCTTATATAAAATGTTAAGTCAAACCTCCTTACCTCCTTGACTTAACTTTTGCCTAAAAGTATTTATTTCATAGAATTTTGTGAAAAAAAATAAGTTAAATTTTCTTGTAATTTTTGTATTATCATACATTTCTGGTAAACTGCCCACCTACCCCTCCCCTAAGCCAACATTTTGCCCTAAGTGAGAAGTAAGTGTT